TGAAAAAGCTACAAGGGCAAGACTGCATAGAAGAGTACCTTCACTGGGGTGCCCGTAAGATAACGCAAGACACGTAAGGTTGTGTTGGAACACGAGGAGCTTGCATAAGTTGAGATAAAACATTTACTGAAAAAGAAATATTCGGACAAGTAAGAGTGAGATACAATAAGCACCCCACAAGCCTACGATACTTTGTAAGATCTCTTCTCTCAACACTGATAGAACGTGTAAGATTATGATGCGATTTAATTAGAGTATCAACCGACTTACAACCCAACAACCTTGTTTCCCGAAGAATATCCAAGGTATACTTATGTTGAGTTAACATCATACCCTCATTGGAATGAGCACATTCAATCCCCAAAAAGTAAGAGACAAGGCCAAGATCTTTTAGATGGAAATAATCGTTCAGGTACTTCTTAAAACAAGTACAAAGTGAACTGTTGTTTCTTTACAACAAGAATATCATCCACATAAACAAGAAAAACCAAAATATCTAGACCATGACTATGTACAAACAGAGTATGATCAGCATGGGCTTGACAAAACCCATAACGATGCATGGGAGATTGTCTCAGACCATACCAGCATTTACATAATCGACACACTTCGCCAGGCTAAGCGTGTGGATACCAGGTAGCAACTTCATGTGCACTTCATCATGAAGATCACCATGCAGGAAAGCATTATTAACGTCCAACTGATGGACTTCCCACCTTTGAGCCACATCAACAGATAACAAGACTCAAACAATAGTATGTTTTGCAACATGAGAAAATGTATTAGTGTAAAGAGTGCCAAATTTCTGATGATTATCCAAAACAACTAACCTGTCTTTGTCACGGTCTTTAGTGCTATTTGAGAAAAACTTGGTACAATACACCCGCAGACAACTCAAAGCTCTTCGGTGTGAGGGAAGATTTGTAATATCCCATGTGTGATTGCACTCCGAAGCGTGAAGTTCCTCTTGCATAGTGATAAGTCCGTTTCGTACTTATCTTTTTTACTCATATTTAATTCGTTCTTGTACCATTTTTGTTATCAAAACAATAAATTCTATATTATTTTTCATCAAAAATATATGTTTTGATAAATTCATAATAAAAAGAATGTCTTTGAATTAATATGTAAAATTGGGCCAAGGATGGAGTAAAAATAGTAAACTTTTTAGAAAAACAATTCTATCTCACAAACGGTGTGGAATTAGAAGTTGGTGTAGAAGGAAAAAATGTTCAGAACAAAATTTTAAGCAGGATAGCATCGACGGATCGGAGCGACAAAGTAGGCGGCCTGGTAGGCAGTGGTCTGCCTGGTCGTCGGTCAGAGTGGCGGCGACGGGGAGCAAACGAACCAGCGGGCTGGAGGAGTGCCGGCGGGCTGGCAGGCTGCAGCCTGCCTGCCGCCTATCGACGACGACCAAAAGCTTCTAGGATCCGAGCAGCAGCAGTGGCAGGCTGGCCGGTGGCCGCCAGTCTGCCCGCCGGTCGGTCCTCCTCCCTCCTATAAATTCCGGCGACTCCTCCCCTTTCCCAAGCAATGTTCATTCGACTTTCCCCCTTTTAGGGGTGAAAATTCCCCTTTTATTACTCTTAAATATTGTACTAAATTTGTGTTGGTTAAATTTCATCATTCCAAGTTAATTCTCACGTCCTTGAAGCACTGTAAGTTTTTTTCTTTTCTTTTTATTGTAATTTTTATTGAACTTTTTATTAATAAAATATTATTTTGTTGATTATCGATATGTCTTTGAGAATTTTATACATTGTTATGATGATATTGGATATTTTGTTTGAGATTATGAATTGGTAATTATATATGGGTTAGGATTTGGAATAAAGATTTAACCAATTTAATTTTATCTATTTATTTCTAATTGGATTAATTGTTAGAAAATGAATTAATCTTTATTAATTAATAAAATTGTTTTTATTATTAATTAATCCTTGGAAATTAATGTTTTATCTTGTCTATGAGGTAATAAGATTAATTAAGCCACACGTTCCGAACACCTAGAAATAGTCAGGGTTAGAAATAACTGTTTGGAATGGTTTTAACTAATTAATAATACTAAACATTTTATTAATTAAGTAATTGGAAAACAGTTCTTGCCTTGTTTATGAGGATTTAGAATTATTTAAGCCGAACATTTTCTAGCACAGTATTGAGACCTAGAAATAGGAGATGTACTAGAAATATAATAATCCTATAATTAATATTGAGACCTAGAAATAGGAGATGTATTAAATATAAGATTAGAATTCTATGTTGTATATTGAGAACTAGAAATAGGAGATATATTGGACATAAGTGCTACACATTTCATTACTCTAATTTCCAATTAAATGATGAGTTAAATTGTGTTGAGTCCGAGATTCAATCCTAACTTCTGAAATTGTTTGTTTAATTATTTTAACTGTTTTAAACTTTTGATTTCTCTTCTCTTTTAGTAGACTATTAGACTAAAATTTAGCCTGTGATAAATAATAAAACTAATTATTCCCTCCGTCACTCCTGGAGAGAACGACCCGAGTCTAACTCGGTTATTTGTTGACTTACCTCTATACACAGTTCGTCACATAGCTTATTTCCAAGAATCAAACTAAATTGCATCCCTGAAACTCTTTGGCACATCATTAGAAATTAATGCAGCCACAAAACCTTTGTACATGTCATGTAAGTTCTCATAATGAACAAAGTTAGCTATAGGAAATCGTCTACCTGAAGATGAGGATGATCTAGGAGAGGATGCAACAGGAGTGATGGACATAACAAGCAAAATGACATATATAATCTTTAAGATGAGATGGAGGACGACGAACACGAGGGGCGGTAGTCTCATCACTTTCAAGCCTGTACACAAAGGGGAGTCACTGTTACTATCGGTGGTGGGACTGCCTGCTCGCCAGTAGATTGAGTCAATGACATGGGGGTTGGGAGTTTTCGCCACAAACAAGAGCGAGAGGGACTCGGAAAATCCACCGGAGAAGGTTGACACACGGATGTAGGAGTAGTTTTTACTATAGAAATGAAAATCAGGAACTGAGACTCGTCAAATGAAATATTATGAGTATGAAAGATATGGTTGGTTTCAAGATTGTAAACTCGCCACCCCTTCGTAGCATAAGGATAAAGAACAAACATACACTTGACAATACGAGAAGCAAATTTATTTAGGGGTTTGGAGACTTGACGAACATAACTCAGACACCCAAAAATGTGGAGATGACTCAAATAAGGGTTTTTGGATGACAATGTCTCGAGGGGGGACTTACCTTTGAGTAACTTGGTTCGAGTACAATTAGTGAGATACACTAGCATTTTGACACATTCACTCCAAAACTCATTTGGTAGGGATGCCTGAAACATAAGAGAGCGATCAATGTTCAAAAAATGACAATTTTTACATTTGACTCGCCCACTTTTTTGTGGAGTACAAACACAAGAAGTTTGAATATACACTCCTATTTGATGATAATATTCGTGCAATGGCATGATGAACTGAGAACCAAGAACCAAGAATCAAGAACGAAGACTTAGAATTATTGAGTCGGTTTTAATGTGATCAAGACCAGCACAAATCTTCAAAACATGGCTCTCTAGGCTCATTTCATCAAAATATTTTTTGCATATTCAAAATGATTTTCTTAAGTCTTAAACCTACCTGAAAACACTTGGAGTTCGCCCAAACCAAAAACCAAGCCATCCGGCGTTCGGTTTTCAGAAATAGGCGTTCGGCTCTCGGTTTTCGGCGTCCCAACCAACCAAATGGTTTTCAACTTTTTATGACTGGATTTTACTTCTAGGCATATTTAAATAGTTCTCCAACAAAAACGCCTCAAAAACCACCTTCCGTTTTTGGTCGTTTAGTGAAAACCATGCTAAATGGCACGAACTTGGTTAGTCGTGGTTTTCAACTAAATGACGTGGTTTTTAAAATGTTTTACTTGATTTCTTAGAAAAATGCAATAAACAAATGTTTTCAATACTTGGTTTTTACTTTGGAGAACTTGTGTTTTTGACATCGGCTAACGGCGTGACTAAACCAACCATGGGTCTGGCTAAACCAGCCCAACAGCGATGTTGAGGTAACCAATAGCGCTGTCTGGCTTGGGTAGCTAAAAAAATGGTTTGGCGTTAAGTCCTCCAACAGCGATGTTGGACATTAGACATCGCTGTTGAGCCAAGGTTGGATTTCTAGAAACTTCTGCAACAGCGATGTAGGCTTCCCTACAGCGCTGTCCAACCTAAGCCAAAGATATTGTGGATTGGCAGAAAGTTTTTGGACAGCGATGTTGACCCAGAAACAGCGCTGTCAGGCCAAACTTCCATCTTCAATGGCAGACCTAAACAGCGATGTTCTAGTATGGAACATTGATGTAGAGACCTGACCGTTGGAAGGAATTTAAGGCTAAAACTTTCCTTGTTTGGAAGTCAACAGCCAAAACAGCGATGTAGGGATTGTAGACATCGCTGTATGCATGACCGTTGCTTCCCATTTTTCAAAACGCAAGCCTAGAACAGCGATGTCCAAGCCATAGGACAACGCTGTCTGGGTGAATTTCAACAGATCCAAATTTCATCAAATCCCACAAATTGTGCCAATCACCCTTTAAATACTTTGGTCCGTTGGAGCCTATTTTTCTACTATAAAATGGGGTGTTTGGGTCTGTTTTACATATCACATTACTTCACAACTCCTACTCTTTCATTGCAAATCATTCTTCAATTATTCATAGCTTTTGAGAGCCATTTTTTGTGAAGCTTGTGTTGTGTTCTTGAGCGTTCTTAGTTTACTCATTGTCCACTCTAAAAGAGAGTACTGTTCTTGAGTGTTTTTAGTGTTCTTAAACACTTGACAAGAGAAGGTATTTCTCTTGTTGTTCGAAGGAAGGGCTGTTTCCTTCGAAGGTTCGTTGAGGTTCGTGTGACTCGAATTCTCAAGTTGTACGGGTTTGTTAAGCACCGTTAAGCTTAACGAGGTAGTAGTGTAGCTCGAGAGAGTCTCTCGGGAGGCTGGATTAACCACAAGTTGTGGTGAACCAGGGTAAAATCGGTGTGCCTCTTACTCTTCTCTTTACTTCTCGTTTATTCATTTTTTTTATTCCTGCAATTTTTGATCAAACGCTATTCACCCCCCCTCTAGCATTAGTCTCTTATTCTAACAATTGGTATCAGAGCCTAACTCGCGTCCAAACTTAACCGTTTGAGAGTAAAGCGATCATGGGCTCTTCTTCTAGAAATCTCTATGCAGGAATTGGAGAAGGTCAATCAACTTCTAGGCCACCACTCTTTGATGGCACCAACTACTCTTATTGGAAGGAACGGATGAGAATCTACATTCGTTCCACCAACTTCCAATTGTGGTTGGTGATCAAAAATGGCGAGGAAATCCCTATGAAGAAAGTGGGAGAAACCACGGTCCCAAAGACTGAAAACGAATTTGATGCCGAGGACATCAAGAAGATTGAAAACTATGCAAAGGCCATCAATATGCTATATTGCGCGGTCAACCCCGATGACTACCGAAAGATCTCCTGTTGCACAACCGCCAAGGAGATGTGGGACAAGCTTGAAGTGACGTACGAAGGTACCGATCAAGTTCGTGAAGCCAAGATCGATTTTCTCACCCAAGAGTACGAAATGTTCCGGATGAAAGAAGGTGAGAAAATTGATGACATGTTCGACCGTTTTTCAAAGATCATCAACGACCTTCATGCTCTCAAAAAGACTTACACCAACAAGGATCTCGTGAGGAAAATCCTGCGGAGCCTCACACCCGAATGGAGGTGTTAGGCGTGTCGTAGCACCTACAAATTAATTTATTATTTCCTTGACTTTTAACCCCCTTTATGATTCAATATTCATCAAAACATATAGATAGGGCAAGTAAGGGTCGATCCCACGAGGAAAGATACTTTTTAGGCTACGAAAATCAGTTCACTTGTCACTTTTATTGAATAAAAACTAACGAAAATCTAAAACTAAAGCTAAGAGATATGGGGAGTTTGAATGATAATTCTAAAAAGATAAAAATGCAAATAAAATAAAGATAAGGATAAAAGATAAGAGATACGAAATGAAACCACAACAGTAACTCGAACTCAGAAGACACCCAGGGAGAAACCAACACACAAAAACAATCACACAATAAACTTTATAATAACATAGAAAATAATAATTAACTTAAACCATTTTGAAAATACTTAGATTTTTTAATAGAAAATAAATTGAACAAATCTGATTAATCAATTAATTATGTCTTAATCCTGAAACTAAACTGCTAATTAAACTCAGGGTTAAGCTGAAGAAGAGATCCACCTGCGGTTCTTTCCTATTCTCCCTAATATAGCCTATGTTAAGACCTGCCCTAACTCTAGACCCTACTATTCTTAACAACCCAAGGACCTGCCCACAGATTTAAATAAAAATAGAGAATTAAGTTCTTTGGAAAACATCACTTAACACTATGCAGTAGACTATATCTATTTAACATAGCCAGCTTGAAAACTCTAATTAATAAAAATTGGGTGGGAGCCAATTATGTATTAACCAGGTGACACTTGTGTTTTGAAAATCTTAGCTATAAACGTACTCAAGATCTTAAAACTGTCAATTGGAATTAGAGTTTAGGCGGCCGTCCTAAATTGATCTAATCCAAGTTTAAACAAAGACTAGTTTTCAAACACCATTTTCGAGTTTAGATTTAATTGTAGCATAAAGCTAAAATTCCTTCAAAATCAAATTAATTCAACAAACAAAAATTCAATCTTTTTCATCAAACAATTTGGCCTAAGAAGATTTTATAATTTCAGAGACAATAATAAATCAATAAATCATATTTGAACAATTCAACACTAACACACAAACAATTCAACACTTATAATAACTTAAACATTCAAATTGAAAATAAACATATTTAATACTGACAATCAAATTCATAAATTGAGAAACTTATAAATTGAAAAGTCTTAATTAAAGAATGAAATTAAAAAGGAGAAAATTGCTCCCCTGAGTTTCTGTGTTCGTCCGAACAGTGCACAGAAGCTAGGAGTCGGGGGAGTTTCCAATCACCGAAGCATCGATCTCGCCTTGCCGTCGCCGTCCAGACCTCCCGTCGTCGTCACCGCTGTGCAATTACCGTCGCCGGACCTAGGGTCGGAACCCTAGGTCGGCACCTGCTCTGCTCCGATCTGTTCTCTCGTCTCTATCCGTCTCCCCCTTTCCCGATCTGGTCTCCTCTTTTTATAATTGAAGTAGAAGAGTTTGAATATGAGAAGAAATGTATCTCTCGCGCTGGATTCCCGTCTCTTGAGCCTTCTTCTTCGTTTCCTACGCTTGGGATTTGGGAGAAGCGTAGCTTTTTTTTCCTTTCCTTTATTTTCTTTGCTCTCTTTATTTATTTCTTATGGGTCAAATTTGGACTTGGCCCAATCTTCACTCTTATTGCTCCAAAGGTCCAATAATGGTATCTTCCTCAACTATTGATGTTCTAAAATATATCTAAAGAATTTTGTCAAGAAAAATAATACTTCCAAAATAATTATCAAATAATAAAAAAGTTCAAAATCGTGCATTTCATGTATAAAATGTAAACAATAGCCTAAAATGTCAAATATTAGAAAATATTCTCATTTATGTATAAAATGCATATTAAATATCTTAAAAGTACTAAGAAATGTAGGAATAAAATAGAATATTTTGTGACTCAACAGGAGGTCAAAAGCCGATGCAATCTATGAATCCATTGGAGTCTCCAACGTCACCATCAACGGGCTAAGAGGTAACCTTAAAACCTATGAATCTACTATTCTAACCCCGTCTTTGGATGAACAAAAGAAAAAGGGGATAGCTCTCAAAGCCACCAAGGAACCGGTGGAAGAGGCTTCAAGCGATGACGACAATGAATTCGGGCTCGTCATCAAGAAGTTCCACAAGTTCATGAAGAAGGAATTTGAGCGGAAGGGAAGGAAGCACGACGGTCCTCCCAAGTGCTACGGCTGTGGCGAGATTGGCCACATCAAGCCAAGTGTCCAAAGGCCAAACACGGCAAGGATAAGCCTGGCTTCAAGAAGCAAAGGGCCTACATCTCTTGGGGTGGCGATTCCGGCGACGAATCAACCGACCAAGAGGAGGACGAAGCTGCAAATCTCTGCCTCATGGC